ACCAAGGCTGTACACATAGCCTTTTTCTCGATTCTATCGCTTATTTCCCTCAATCACGGTGGGTAATTCTATATTATATTTTGCCCATTATCTTCAATTGCCAAGTGATTAGAAATCTTGCACCTAAGAAATTGAATTGGCTGACTTATAAAGTTAATTAAGTTCGCTAAGAACATTTTAATTAAAACCATTTTTAATTCAAATGAATAATCTAAAAAAATGAAACGCTAGTTTAACACATTTAGGGAATTTTTTGTACGTCGTATAGGATTAAGGAGGAAGGTTTAGGAGGAACTGTATTAAGGTGGATTATGGTATATTGTTTTAGGATAAAGCTGAATGTACACCATCCAAAGTGACATCCCCCCTATTTGGAGGGGGCAGTGAGTGATGGAATTTTAGAATTCAAAATCAATAGTGCAGATTAAGTCATGTGGTAGAGTGTTGATCACGATGTCAAAAATAATGTACATGTAGTATGATTGAATGTTTTAATACAACATTTAGTACTACAATGTATTAGAAAAAAAGATAATTAGCATAAAATGTTCATATCTTTAATTATTATTGTGCAAAACGTTTCTATCTTTCATTTTTTGGCATTTTACCCTTAATGACACATTTGACTGTGCAAAAGGTTATTTTAATCAATTTTTTTCCAATTTTTCATTTAGGTGAATGGTATTTTTCATCTTAAATTTTTTTTCCCTGTTTCTTCTCCATTTGAACCCAATTTTTTCGCTGTTTAAACCTTTGAAAAACATTTAACTAGTGGATTCAAGTCATTTTATAATAACTGGAGATAAGAGAAAATGTTTATAACTTACAATAATCATGATTTCATTTAGGTGTTTTGGCAACAAATGTAGAGCTCTAATGGTTGCGGCCAAGTTCATCGTTGCCTTCACTGCTAAAGCTACCAAAACCACCGCTATCAAAATCAGTTTGCCCATATGTCATTGAAGGAGGTACTCAATTTACTTCCTATATGTACTGGAGGTTGAACATCTCATTCTCTTCTCTTATCTTTTATTTCCATCGTTTTATTTGAGATTCTCCTTTACATTGACATATAGTGCTCAATTAGAATAGACTCTTATAATACTAGTAAATATGATGATCGGAGATGAGAGAAAACTGAAACCATAAATAAACTGACTTGAATCTACAAATCAAATGGTTATTTTTCAAAGGTTTACAAATTAAAAAATGGGTTCAAACGGGGAAGAGAGAGCAAAAAAAATTTTAAGACGAAAATACCTTCACTTAAATGAAAAATCAGATGAAAATGACATTTTACACCTATTTAGTGGGAAATCCGATTCCACCTTTTCCATTTTTTTTTTTTTTGAAAATGGAAACAAATTTCATAACCAATTGTAAAAAAAAATTCACTTTAATAGACAATTTTCATGTAAAACAAAACCAAACAAACACTAAATTTTGATGGAAAAAAATGGTTTTTTAGGAAATTTTTTTTTTTTTTTTAATGGAAACAAATTTTATAATCAATTGTGAGAAAATTTTCACTCTCATGGACAATTACCATGTAAAACAAAGCTAAACGAACACAAAATTTTAAAATTTTTCGGATGAAAAATTATACAAATCAAACACACTTAATTTTCAATTCCCTACAAAATAATTTCTAGGCAATTATTTTATTTGAATTCATTTTCTTTCCACCTGTTTTCTACCATTGTAATCAAAATGACCCTAAGTGATTTTTCATTTAATTGAATTTTTTACTCATTGGTGAATTGTTCACTTATAAATGAATATTTTGCTTACAAGTTAATTTAACTAATAGTTGAATATTTTATTGATAAGTTAAAAATTAAAAATTTTACCTAATACGTAATCACTGGTGAATTTTTTAAGTTATAAGCAATATTTTAACTCATAAGTAATTTTTTACTTAAAAGTAAAATTTTTGCTTTATAAGTGAAATTTTTAACCTTATGGGTGAATTTTTTTACTTATATAAATAAATATTTATAAGTTGAATTCTTTACTTATATGGGTATTTTTTTACTTAATAAGGGGATGTTTTTAACTTATGAGTGAGTTTCTTACAAGTATTTTTAAACTTATAAATGAAGTTTTCACTTACAAGAATTTTTTTAATAATGAATGGATTTTGTACTTGTACGTTTAGTGAATATATCAACTTTAGTTCAACTAATTTTTTTTTTTCTATTATTCATGAAATAGTGGTGAATTCAATATACGGTCTAAACACATATCATAGAGTGGACTATTTTAATCCAGTTGATTAAAAGGAATAAGCGCCTCGGATTAATTTAATTCGAGTATTATTGCATCAAACACTGGAAAAAATTAAACTAGTTTTTTTTTTAATCAATCTAATACAATATAACAAATATGAGTATTGGATAGTGTTCGATAAAATTACGAGATTTAAACGTTTTTTTTCTTTATTATTATTATTATTATTATTATTATTATTATTATTATTATTATTGATATCCAGGTAACCTAACTTACACTAGACTATGTCCTGGATCATCTATCCCCGGCCCCTCAGTGATGGGTGGAGGTTAATTGCGGGATATGCACAATTTGATCAGGGTCTGTGCACCCTTGACCAGGGTCTGTGCACCCTTTATACTTCTGGCCCCAAGGGAGCCTTCCTCCATGGATATTACATCACCAACTTCTCCATCCAGAAATCGAACTCCCCACCCTGAGGTTGCAAGCCCAGCAATGCCCATCCTTTGCCAACTTGGATGAGTCCCGGGGGGCCCTTTTTTTTTTATTAATATGATTCGATGTTGTAGAATGCACCTAGACAAATAAAGTTGCATACAGGAGCATTTTGCTCATGCCCAATATATTCTCCAAATAGTAGTATAGCCTTGGGTTTCATTTTTTTAAAGTTTAGAGCAATGTTTATCTAGCTTCAATATGAAAGTAACTTTTTTAAGGGTTGTAGGACGTAGTGACCTTAGAAATTATTGCCCTCGAGACGAAATAGCAAAGAATAATTGAAATTATTGTTGTTATTGCTTTGACTCGACTCTTGAATCTTGTTTTCCTGATTTTACTCGTCCCATTCAATCATCTAAGATATTGTTCTAAAAAAAAAATCGAGCAGTGCTTGAAGTACAGGGGTCTGATTCACAGGCCCCTGCCAGGGCACACACATCGAGAGGGGAGCCTCTTTTTTTTTTTTCTTTATACACAGGTGGGGTCGGTTGCACAATGAGGGCTTTGTGAAATGAGCCCTTGTACTTGGGGAACAATCCAAACAAATCTCATCCCCCAATTATGTCATGTCAAATTCAAAAAATCAGGAATCACTGCTCAAAGGTTTAGGTCAACCAGTCAGGTATTGAAATTAAAATTGATTTTTTTTTTTTCCTTTTCTTGATTTTACCTATTCCTTTCAATTATTCAGGAGTCCAACATTATAAACAATAATTTCTTTATTACAATTGAAGATATTTTGCAATGCTATTTGATTCCTTAAACAGTTAAAAAGCTTCGATGAGCCTTGTTTCTGTCGGGAAGCCTATCTTGAAGAAGATAAGATGTTCCAAATATGTCTGAGTTTCAAAATAAGTAGAATTCAAAAATATTAGTGTCACTCTATGGATAAAAAAAAAATATGTGAGTTCAAGCGCCACTTAGAAAATAACCAAATCTGGGAAGCCATAGCTAACCTTCGGGCTTCGGCTCTGTCATTTATGCAAAGTAACGAATGAAAGTTAAAGTCAATAATAAATGAATAACTTGGAACTAGAAGTGACAGGTATGAACTTGTTTCTAACAAAGGGTCAATGTAATATTTTTTTTTTAAATGGTATGTTGTGAGAAGTTGACAAATGTTATAACATACAAATTGATATACTATCATTTCTGGTTACCATTGATCGAACCCACCCATGAATCAGACTAATTCGAACTCCACATAAGTTGACAAATGTCACAACGTGCAAATGACATTCTATCCTATCCAATTACCATCGCCCAACTCCACCCATGAACCGGACTTATCGAACTTGAGGTTCGTAAATATGACATTCTATCCTTTCCAATTACCATCGACCAAATCCACCCATGAACCGGACTTATCGAACTTGAGGTTCGTAAACGATGTTGAAATTATTGATTAGCATTCCTCTTTTTCTCCCTATAAAGGAATAGAAATACCCTCATTCAAGGGATTTGAAAATTTTTATTCTATACTTTCATCAACATATTCCATGTATCAAATTCAATTATCTTAAGCATTGAAATTCGTACGATGGTTGACCTCCTTGAAGCTCAACCACATTGCAAAACTAATGGAGCTGTTATTTTGCAGATCTAGAGAATTACAGTGTTAATGAATTGTGATGCTAGGAAGTAAAAATTTCAACCATCAACAAGTATGTAGGCCAATTCTCCTCTTTCGACCTTTAATAACTCAATCCTTACCCTACAAAGTCATTAAATGACTCTAACACTCAAGAAGAAGAAGAAAGGCACCATCAAATTTTATAAAGAGGAAGATGCACAAATAGGGAGGGGAGGGCGTTTTGGACATATCCTCCCATGAAAATGAACTATAAAAAACTAAGTGAATGATGTCTAGAACGTCCAGTAGAGAGTGTTCTAGACATTTTTCACTTTTCCCCTTGCCATGTAAATATTTTCAGGTAATGTGGCACACGTTTAAAGCAATCCACAAGACATTAAAGATTAATGGTCTATAGTTAGACTAAGAAATCAAATGAATATTTCTCCTTCCATTATAGGTGTAACATTCAATTACAGTAAGTAAAAGTCAACGGTATGACACCACCAAGATCTATGTACACTGACTATTCTTCCTTCCATTCATTTTCTAAATGAACACATCAAATTAAAAAAGATGACAACAGACTCCAAAGAAAAGGATATCCAACAAATGTAACTACAACAAAATTGAAAATGAGAAATTAGAGGGAAAAAGAAAAGAGAATGCACTTGGTAATAGTTGTTTCTAAAAGAAATTACACCAAGGAGTCTGTGTTTCCAGTATAGTTCTCCCTGCTAAGATCCTGTGGACTCCAACCCGAGCTGGAATGTGAAGTTGAAGTTGTAATTGACGTCGTCTTGACTGAACTCGAATCTAAATCTGTGTGTCCGGCAGCCGGCCACACGAAAGCTGGCTTGAAAGGTGGAACATTCGGCACTGGCACTGTTCCCGAGATAATTTGAATTATAGCCTGTGTTTTAGGCCTTTCACTAGCAGTAGGATGTGAACAGGCCAACCCCAGCAGCAGAAGCCTCTCGGCTTCTTCTGCAACGAATTCGTCATACAATCTCTGATCTACAGCGTCAAGTAAGCGCCCATCACGATGCAAGAACCAAACCCAATCCACCAACAATTGGAAGCCAGCAATTCTGGTTCCGGGACGTAGACCACATACCAATTCCAACAAGACTGCCCCGAATGCAAAGACATCAGACTGTTGCGTGGCTGTTCCAGTGTGGAAACACTCAGGTGCAATGTATCCCATTGTGCCTAGCACTCCCTCAGCCTCGGCATATGAGGTCTTCCCATTGTCGAGCGCCCGTGCAAGGCCAAAGTCTCCTAGACGGGAATCGAAGTTGGAGTCAAGCATGATGTTGCTAGCTTTAAGATCTCTGTGTACTACCCTCTGCTCATACTCGTTATGGAGATAATGCAAGGCTGAGGCTACCCCAGAAACTATTTTATATCGAAGACTCCATCCAAGTGGCTCTATGTTGGGCTCTGAAAACAGGTGTTTGTCCAGGCTTCCGTTCGGCATGTATTCATACACAAGAAGAAGCTTCCTGTTCTTGTGGCACCATCCTGTTGCCGAAACAAAAGTAAGTAATTCTGTTCATCATTTATTTTCTTATAGTGAAAATTTAAATAGATTAGGTTTCCATGTATTCATGTTTCCCTCAACCATGGCAGGAAATTCTATCTTAAATTTTGCTCATCTTGTTCAATTCCAAACGACTAGAAATCTTGCACCTACGAAATTCATTTGGTTGAGATAGTTAATTTAAAAACTACTTACTATAGTTCTCTAAGAAAGTAGTAAATTAATCCGAACAACCAATGATACGATGAAAAACTGGTTTACTGCATCTAGTTAGCCTTTTTAGGTAATTAACAGAGCAATTTTATACTGCCGTATAGGATAATAATCAATAAATCGAATGGCAGAAACAAAAAATTGGCTGATAAAATCCTAGTGTTAGATGAGACATACCCAGAAGTTTAACAAGATGTTTATGCCGAAGGCGATTAATGATGGTAAGTTCAGCCAAGAAATCATCTTGTCCTTTGATACTCTCCCTGGAAAACCACTTGACTGCAATCTCCAGATTCTCCTTAGCTAGAAACCCTTTGTATACAACTCCATATCCTCCTTGTCCAAGCTTGTTCTTCTCGTCAAAACTGTTTGTAGCCCTTTTCAGGTCCATGAATTTGAACTCTCGAGGTGTACCGGGAAGACTCTTTAGAGCCCCTGCCAAGTTTGAATTACAATGTGCCATTCGCCGCTTGCGGAAATAGTATCCAAATCCCACTGCTCCCATTATCAGGAGCACCAAAATAGGCACTCCAACTCCTAAAGTTATCTTCAACCATGTGTGATTTTGATCTGGAAAGTAGTGGATAGTCAAATTCCACCTCAAAACACAGTTCAATTGTGTAAAATTCCCTGTAGATGCAGAGAACCCGAAATATGAATACTGATTTAGATGATCTCGCAGATTCAGATTTGCACTAATAATACTCGAGCTAGGCTTGGGAGGAGTAGGGCCAGTTTGCTCAGCCTGTTCTGCTATGTACACTGCAAGGAACTTCTCAACACCGTCATAATCCACCCACACGTTGTAAAACTTAGGACCCTTTGGAGCTATTGTGATATTGAAGGGTGTCAAAGATTCAGTTCTTAAAGATCTGACGCCATTGATGTCGATACCTACATGATTGTCATCAGGGTCAAAATCCTGTTTGAAGGTGTCAAACTCCACCGCAACCAGGTGATTGCTGTCGTTCCCGTCGGTGGTGGCATTCGTGAGGCCCAGAAACTCACCGTAACTGTTGGGCGGCAAGTTCAAATCGGCGGCAATCAAGAAAGCCAAACCTTCGCCGGGAGTTTCATTTTTGGGCCTGTAAACATTGATAAGAAAGGAAGTGTTGAAAGATGCAACCGGGTTTTCTCTGGATGATGAAATATCACCTTCCCAGAGCTTGAAGGGCTGTTTGTAGAGGATTCTGCCTGAATTATAGGTCATATTGAAGCCCGCCGAAGCTGAATCTGGAGTCACCTGAAGTGCTTTATTGCTTATAGTAGCGGGGGTTTCAACCTCAAAAATAGCGTAGTGTGTTTCATTGAAAGGCCCATATTCTCGACTGAAAGTGTCGAGTTTCTGAGCTGAAACAATGGCTAAATAAAAGCAAAATACAAACACGGCGGCGCTGAAATTTGCTGTTAGTTCTCCCATTTGACAGGTTATGGGCTCTGGATTGGAGATGGATGAGGAATAAGAAAATCAAGAAAATTAATGCACAATAAACTTTTTTGGTTGAATAAAATATTGTTGAAGGACATGGAGAATCAAGAATAGGTTTGAAGTTTGAACTGGTTTTTTGGTTTTAATATTCCTTCTAATAGTGTCACCGTAGCATCTTGCTAGGAACTTGCTCCTCTGCCTCCCATAGCTGACTGGTACATGGCCGCGGTCGGATTATGAGAAGCTGACCTTTTCCTAATTTTTTTCATTTATAGAAACTAATAAAATAAAGAGGGTGGCTTCGTCAATCAATGTGGTCTTTGCCTCCAGTTTTGGTTACTTTTCTACCTTTTCTTTTGCACTTTTAACTTGATATAAAAAGTTCATTTAGAATTTTACGCAAGTGAAATAGGAGTATCGTTTCTAGACAAATTACAACTTAAACTGATTATATATCTAAAAAATAGTTAATTAGAAAGTTCTTAATGAATAAAACAACAAAGTTTAAAAATATTCAAGTGTTACGCCTCACAAATTTCTAGTAAGTCAGTAGTCAAAGTTTGCGTTACACTCTATGACAAATAACGTACAATCGATAATTCAGTAGTATTATCCACGAAATTAACATGAAAGTCGATGACAAATTTCGATTTCATTTTCTTATACAACAAAGTCGTGAAACACTATTCCTATTCCAAACTTTAGAATAATGCCTAAACTTAGTAATCGAAATATTCAATATGTCAATTTAATTGTTTTAAATTGTAAATTATTTGATATTGATAGGTTTGCAAAGAATAAAGAGTTAATCGATATATGACAGTAAAAGTTTGAAGTACAAATGTGAATAAATCATAATTTGTACAATTTTAAACTTAATAATTATTATAAAATTAAAAACTGACGTATATAAATTTAATATTACATAGTCGATTTAATTTACCCATTTTTGTTATACTTTTCGTGCTTTATTAGGTTGAATATTTTAATATTTAAAATTATTATTTAATAAAAATAAAAATTGGAATTAGTAAACTTTTTGTTCTTTATTAGTTTTGATTTTTTTTTAATATTTAAATTATTGTTTAATAGGAATAAAGAATTTTCACAATTGCTAACGCTATGGACTTCGATGTTTTCTAAAATCTTAGTTAATAATGTGATTTTTAATCTCAATATAGTAATCTTGTAATTTTTTCGTATAACTCATTTCCGAAAATTGGTCTAGAAAGTGATTTTAAACCAATTTTTATGGCAAGTAAAAACTTTGCATGTCTTAATATAAGTTTCGAACAAAATCTTATGACAATAAAGATGCAATAATTATGTATTAGCTTTGATTAAGGATGGTGTTCATATTCAAAATCCTCAAAGTTTCCCGCAAAATTCACAAAAAAATTCCTCTTCATCTCGACATCAACATGTGATACACAGTCAAAATATTGATACTTAACCACTCCGTGTTAGCGTGATTTATCTCGAGATGTGTAAAGACATGTCTTTTCAGGTCGAGATGATATTAGTTTTTGGTGTTGAGATCAATTAAATAATATTAAATTGTATATATATATATTTTTTACTTTACTTGTAGTTGGATGAAGAGTAATTTTCTTGTATTTTTTATTCTCTTGACTTTACATGGTGATAAGGTAGATTAACCTTTATTAATATTTTTGTTCGTTTTCATGCAAAATATTTTCGATTATTTCACGTCATGGATAAGATATATTTGCCCTTCAGGTAAATACCTAGTATTTTCTTGTATTAGATTCTTTTGATTTAAAATTCTAATGCTTAGCTCATACAAATTTGTCCACTATTCAAATGTGCTAAAATCTTCAAAGGTTGTCATTATCATGATCTCAATAGATGAAGTAAACTAAGTCTTTTATTAATATAATATAGTTGATATTGATTTTGGCTAATTGCGTGTTTTTTAAACTAACATAATTTCCTATAATTTAACAAACGTACAAGTCCACCGTGTCCAACAAAGATTGTCAAAGAATTAGCTAATTTTCATTTTGTAACAAAATAAAGTAAAAAAAAAAAAAAAGAAAGAAAGAAAGAAAGAAGAAAAGGGTACTACAATAATTAATGGTGAACAAAAGAAATAACTTTTTGAGTAATGATTGTTGCTTTAACTCACTTGTAATCCTGATTATAATTATAATTAGAGAATAAGTTGCTTTATTTCTTCATCCAGCCAGCGTTCACATTCATTTTATAGATTTTGTGATCTTGAAACAAGGGATGAGCATCTTTTGTCTATTGACTAAGCAAATAATGTGTATTAAATACTCTAACACCAAACCGTTATGTAGAGAAGGATGCCAAACGGTTTTTCGATCCAGAGAAAATAATTTTTAGAAAATATCGAGATTAAATATTGAATTAATTCAAATTGTGGAACACGCGGAACAAAAAGAATTTGTAGTAATGTTGTAGATACATTGTGGTACATTTAATTTAAGTAGTAATTTGAATTTAATGATGAACGAAATTCAATTTTGGTTACCTTGAATTAAATGATCTAGATATAAATTATTATAAAATACCAAAAAAAATGAAAAGGAAAATTCTTTGATCACCTCTCACTCAATTATTCAAAGTTGATAATTTTGAGTTCTTTATTGGCATGGCATGACCACTTGCATTCTTGGCTTTGATGGATCAAGAAAAGTTAAATTAGATAAAATTAAAAATTGTGCATAAAATATTTTATCCCACGTTGTGCCTTATTGTAAAGCAGAAAGAAAATAATGGACATGCATGTTTTATATGGAATTAGGTAGTCATACTGAAAAAGTGTGGGGACGCAATTATGAGAAATTAGGGTGGTAATAGCAGTTAACAAATTTTGTAGTTGGAAAGCCATCTTTTCCCCATACGAGGTATATGACAGTTTACCTAAACGTCTTGAGACATCTTTTAAAATGCCAGCATTTGATGCCATCAATATTGATATCGAGCTCCACCTCTTCACATGAAAATCACTATCCCTTGTAAATTGAAAGAGCATCGAAGAATAATAGATCATGCCACTAGCATGATTGTGTTTCTCTCTCCCTCTCTCACTCAAAGCAAAGTACATATACTCTACTCCTAAGATCAAAAGAATTTCTAATAGGTTTGAAAGAAGAAAAGAGGAATTTTACAACCTTTCTTCTAAAAATTCTTTCTCAAGAATCCATTTTCGTATAGAATCATTATTCCATCTACCTTTTCTTGACCCAATCAAATATTCCTTGTTATTAGAATGTTTTCCATTGGACTGCCTATAAAAAGGTCGCTAATGGCAGCCTGGTACAACCTTGGACAATAATTGTCTACTTAGGTTTTAGTTTTAACGAGTATACAACAAAAATCAGGAGTCGTACCAAATGCAAATTAACTTGTCTTTTTTGCTTGATTATTCAAATTTTCTTGCTTGATTTATTCAAATTTGATAGGCAATGTATACTTTTCAAATTTATGTGGGACTTATAAATTTTGTACGTATTGTTGAGGTGAAAAATCATTGTGATTCTTGTGTCAATTATATTGTTGTTACTGGAATGTAAATTTCTCCTTTAAACAATTTGAATATACGAACATTGGCAAAATTATCTTAAAAAGTAATTTGCACAACGTAACAATATGTTCAACGTGATCAAAAAATTAATTCGAGCCCACCGATTTCATGATATTTCATTAAAATGAATTTGATGCATTCAAAGGTGCTACAGATGTTCAACACTTGTTTCCAAGGATAGAATAAATTTCGTCTCCTAAAATGCAGCACATCAATCTACAAGAGTTCCAGCAAACCCAATGAAGTGTTTTCACTTCGAGAACAATATCAGAGAGAGAGATTCAATGTAGATAAAGTTTGCAATGAAAATTATGTAATTATTCTGACAACAAGGTAGGTTTTTTATAAACTCGTTCGTAGTCATTCGAACATGTTGCAGGCCTTTTTAGAATCGTCGACACTGTTCAGACATGCTCCAAACTCGAACAGACAACACTATTTAGTACTGCGTTTGTTAAGTCAGTTAACAGACGACTGTTACTTCAGTTAACATACAATCCAAACCAAAAAATTATCCGAAAATAAGTCATTCAAAATTAATTTCATTAGGTACCCAAGAATTTAGTTAATAACAATTTGGCCCAAAAAAATTAAATAAATTTAGTCCAAAAAAGTTAATATAGTACAAGGATCCACCCGCACTCGAATCAAACCGGACTCGGACCGACGTGTTGAGCCGAGCCTGATGATAGCGGGGCACTCCCGCATGTGGGCTGAGGACCGAACCCAATAGAATATAAGTCTTCCCCTTCCCAAGACTATTAGTACCTCTTGTGGCCGAAACCCAATTATTGAACTATCACTATATAAGTCACACTAAAGTTTTCTAACTTTCCTATGTGAGATAAGTGTTTGGCAATTTTCAATAAATCAAATTCTTCACTAATTTATAGTTTCAAGTGGATTACTTTAACATAAAACATTTCATTGAATTCTAAATGGTTTTCAATAAATAAATATATCACATTAATCACCAAGTGGATTAGAACGTGAATATGCTTAGTCCCACTAAAATCGAAGCACGGATCCCATTAAAATTGGAGTTCAAAGTTGACCCAATTCACTAGTTAATAAACCATTTCCACATATATAACTTCAATTAGCATTAAATATGTAAAATCAAGCGTAGTGAGACTGCTCGGTCAAGGAAAAATAGAGAGAGGACTGTAGGAGAAATCATTTCAGTGCTAAAATTAGTTGTTTTTACTATGTAAAGTATCAATATTTTAGTTAAGTAGATTTTAATTTTGATTTTAGATGCATCACTTAAATGGAATTTGACCTTACGCATACATTTTATTGTGATTATGTCCTATAAATTCGTCACGTCATTTCTTGGCAACAATCAACATGTCACAAAAAATTATGTCTACTCAATTGTCTTCTTCGAGGCCATGTTAGCATTTGAGATGATGAG